AAGCAGGTATTTTCCTAATTTATTAGTTTTGGTACACCTAAGAATGGAGTGATGAACAGATACTGCAATGTAATAAAGTCAGTAGTACTCAAAAAAATAATGGAGATTGAGCACGGGCTTACATTGCTAGATTATATGGTTGGTAACAGGATAACAATGTAGAGACATAGCCACATAGGTGTGTGCCACTGACTAGGATGTTCGATATCATTATTATTATTATTATTATTATTATTATATATATATATATATATATATATATATATATATATATAGGTTCATAATCAGGTGAGAACCATGCCCTAGGTGAGAACCTGTGGACAAATCCAAACCATTGATTTAGTAGATCTAAAGGTTGAAAATAAACAAAACTTTGTAATATTTATGAAAATTACCCCGCTAATTTTAAAAATTTGTAATATTTATGCAAATGACCCCGCTCATATTTTACTTGATTTCTCATCCATCAGATCTGGCAGATCAATGGTTTGGATGTGTCCACAAGTTCTCATCTGATTAGGATTATATATATATATATATATATATATATATATATATATAGTACTTGTCCTTTTTTGTGTATACTTTTGACAACAATAGGTTTTTATCCAAGACCTATTGTTGTCAAAAGTATACACAAAAAAGGACAAGTACTATATATATATATATATATATATATATATATATATATATATATATATATATATATATATATATATATACCATTAATGGCAAATAGTCCTTGGATAAAAACCTATTGTTGTCAAAAGTATACACAAAAAAGGACAAGTACTAGTTATCAGTTATCCAACTTCTGATGACCTCTGTCTGTTTTATCACCTGCAAATGAATTTTGCTTGAGACCTAACTTAGAGATTGAGTTTTGCTTGGCCTCTTGCTCTTCCGCAGTTGTGTAATTGATGTTGATTGAATAACACATGATTGCACATAAATTATTTGTTTTTCTTTGTGCGCATAGGTAAATAAACTTGACAAAAATGCAATACCCGAAACATTAAGAGAGACTGGCAGACAAAGATTGTTAAACACATTAAAACAAAACGAGAAGCGGTTCTCTGATTTAAGGTATGCAATATCTTCCCCCCTCTACTCTTCCACAACTCCTTAGCCTGAAAGGGGTTATATTCTCACTGGATTCCCGTTTGCAGGATGAGCTTCGAAGATTCTGCCTCGATTCTTGAAAATGAATGTTACAAGAAGTACAGTAAAAGCGGGAAGTCCTTTTATTTATCTCAAATGGCAAGTACAGTAAGGTGGCTCTCAACAGTAGACCCAACCGAACTAACAAATAAGCTCGGCTGTGCTCCTGATCCTCCCAAGGATCTACAACAACCTTCAGAATCACTGACTTCATCAATCACATTATCAGCAGGACAGAATAACGAGAAAACCAACAGCGTTGTTTTAGAAACAGAAGCAGCAGCTGAAAACGTCTCCCCTGCTACAACATTGCCACCAATCCCATCTTTCTCCGAGTATATTAACAGTAGAAAAGTGAAGAGCCACCATGAATCCAAATCAAAAAAGCGTTCACCTGATATGTCCCAAAAGAATATACAGAAGAAAATGCGATCTTAATTTAGTGCCTTTTTTTTTTAACCTCCTGTATTTGGCTGCAACTGGCAATGTTTGCAATATGATTGCTTAGAATTTGTTTCCTAGTTATTTTGTTCTTAATGTAACCTGTCATTCATTTTGAAAGTCCTCATGTCCTTCTCCATGCCATTTTTTATTTTTCTTTTAACTATAAATATTATTCTTCTAACTACCTTCTTTTCAAGATTTGATAAGAGAACAGTTAATTGTAACCATAAAGTTAGAGTTAAAAATTAAAAATTTATGAATTTGTTACGGCACCATACTGAAGAAAGTTGCTCCATAAAAAATTAAGAGTAACTTCAATCAAGTTGGTTAGCATGTTGGTTTGGGGTGTGGTTACAAGTGAAACTCTCAATGAGAGTGGTTTATTGGTGTTTTTAATTTGAATTATATGCAACCTGGACTGGCTTGGTTTACTTCATTGTGGTTTTTGCTAGTTAGGATCCCAATGCATATCTTCACGTAGTAGTTTTAAGTATCCTTGATCGCCCAAATCTATACTATAATTAAAAACAAAATCATATTTACTTGATTTTCTGCCCAAACAATAGTAATAGTAAAGGAAAATAAAAAATGAATGGAAATAAAAAAAAAAAAATGGAACATAAATTTTTCACAATAATATTTTACATCATCAATTAAAACGGAATGGAAATTAGGTAAATTGGTAAAAAAAATGAATATTAATAATTGACTGAAAATTAAAAATAGAAAAGGAACAATCAAATTTATACAAATGTTTTACATTATTATTATTATTATTATTATTATTATTATTATTATTTACAATTACTTAAATATCTAAAATTTAAAATAAATTTAAAATTTTAATATAAAATACTAATATTAGGCTAATATTTTTGGCGCATCGCGCATTAAAAAAAATACTAGTAATTATATAAAAGAGAATATAAATTAAATTATTATAATATATTATATATTATATATTCTATCTGTTCAAAAGTGGAACTAATGTGAATGATGGAACAATCATTAATATGAATGAAAATAATGTTAAGACTGCTGATGCGCAGTCTATCTCGTTCAACAATTTGTACGTAAATAGTTTGTAAATATATTACCATTATCAATTAAACTATAGCAATCGAAAAAATATTTGAGATGAGATTGGCAGATAGCTAGAGAGTTAGTTAGCTGCGTTCTATTCAATCCTCATCCTACGCACTGTTAGCCTCGGTCTGCATTCTCAAACAAAAGACGTAAAATGCAGACTTAGATACAAAAGGTTAAAAAAGACGAGGGAAGAAAAAGATATGAAATGTGCTATTCCTTTTTGTTATGGGAATACTTATTCCCAAATCTATTAGTATTAGATATTCCTAATCCATCAAGAATATCTCAACAAACTATTATAAATAATCTCTTTCAAACTCCTACAATTAATCACTTGGCTCTCTTTCTCTAAGAACCAAAAGTTCTCTCTCATCACTTCACTCTCTTAATTTAAAACTCTTTTGTTGCTTAATTCTTAACCAATACGATGTCGGAGCTCCCAGAGGGGCCACCACTTTGGTTGTTAGGGATGTCAGAAACTTTGTGGGGGCATACTCTTTACGTGGGTGATCTTCACCCAGAAACCACTACAGCAGACCTCGAGGCCGCATTTTCTGTGATTGGGCCGCTAGATTCTTTCGGGATTTGAAGAGATGCCGTGTCTGGGAAATCTCTTTGCTTTGCTTTTGTCAACTTCTTCTATGTCTCTCATGGTAACAAATCATACCACTTTTCTACTATTTATATATATTTGTGTTTGATCTTAGGTCCGGTCCTATTATTTTATATGCCAGGGCATGTAAAAAAAAAGCCCTACATGAAGTAATCATATATTTTTATAACTTGGTTGAATGATTATAATTTGCAAATAATTATTTATATATATTTTTTATGATCAGCTATGAAGGCTCTGGCATGCTTAAGCCATACAACCCTGAGAGGAAAGCCAATGAGGATTATGTGGTGGCATAAGGAGCATAAGGAATCAATAGTAAGAAAATCTGGGATTGGAAATGTTTTTGTGAAGAATCTTGCTCCTTCTATCACCAGTGCTCAATTAGAGAGCATGTTCATGAAGTATGGCAAAATACTGTCCTGCAAAGTGGCCGAGGAGGAAAACGGAAAGAGCAAATGTTTTGGATTTGTTCAGTTTGAAACACACAATGTTGGGAAAAGACATTCAAATTAGAAGTCAACATTCTTGTCCTAACTTCTAGGCTCCACATACTCCTTGTCCAGAAAAGTGGTGTGAACGTGGGTATGACAAAGTAGAGTAATGGTCTAAGGATTCCACTATTTGCGTGAGTGTATGTGGTCATGGTTAGAGCTCCTTGACTATAAATATAGTATCCTTCACGATTCATCAATACACTCAAAAAGGAAGTTTCCTTTTTTGGCTTTTCTTCACTTCGTGCATACCCTCTAGTCTGAGCATATATATAGTCAGGTTCGCCTACGTGGTTGCTAGTGCAAGCAATCTGTAGTAGGTCTGTGTAGCCTGTCGAAAGCGTGCCAGGGTTCTAACTGCACCGTTACCGGGCAAATAACGCTTTTAAGGTAGTGTTATTATAACACGGCACAGATTTCCTTCTACCATACACCCGTTGTGTCCGTGCTTCTTAAAAGGTTTCCCGCTCGCGCGTTGACGTTGCGAATATTCTCCAACAGTTAAAAGCGTTATTTTAGCAACAGTCAACTACTCGAATCATGAAGAAGATTATAATAATTTTCTGGCGACATGATGGTGCAACAACAACAGAGATTAGAAGTGGAAGGCAGCAGCTTCATAAAGAACAATACTGGTGAAGCACACTGTTTCGGCTTATGTGTAACCTTTAAGCAAGGGATTACAACAAAAATAATTATTGGGTTCATATCGGAGCTTTGACCATACTCCGATGAGGTTTGTCTTCTCATATTTTAATATGACACATGCATATTTATATGATAATAGACTATCATATGCAAATGATTATAATAATATTTGTAGACATTATATATTAGATTATTATAATAAATAAATTTGATTTCATATAATTTTAATTAGTAGGAATTCGTTAGTTATTTTTAAAAATGTAAATATTGGGTATATGTTTTTACACATCGGGCATAGAAAAAAATTAGTAATGATAATAATAGTTAATTTTATTTTTGATCCTAGATTTATAGATTACAATTCAGTCTTTTTTTATCATAACATCAAAAAGAGACATAAATCAAGATATAACATGGATTGAAACTTATTATGTTTTTATTAGATAATAAAGAAAATCATGAAAATTAGGATAAAAGGTAACAGATCCAAATGGAAGGGGTACAACCGATATTTAAACTTAAGTTAGGGGCAAAAAGAAAAATTCTAGCTTTTCTTCCCCTTCCTTCATTCTAGCGTCATCGGAGTATATGGAGTGTTGAATTGGGAAACAAGAAAACCCTCTTCGAGTCTTTATCGTTTTTTGCTTTTGTATACTTCGCCGGATCGAAGAATCAACTGTGAAAAGGATCAGTAACATTACATAAAAGTTAAAAGATGAGTAGAGGAAGCGGAGGGGGCTACGACCGTCACATTACGATCTTCTCCCCGGAGGGTCGTCTCTTCCAAGTCGGTAAGCTAACGGCTTTTGCTATTCTAGTTAATTCCTCCAAAATCGATGATCCTTCTTTTCAATTTTTTGCTCGGCGTTGAATTTCTAGGGTTTTGTTGTTTTTGTGAATAGAGTACGCATTCAAAGCGGTGAAGGCCGCCGGAATCACCTCCATTGGTGTGCGCGGAAAGGACTCCGTTTGTGTTGTTACTCAGAAGAAAGTCCCGGTAAATTTCACATCGTTTGAGCTCAATTTTTATTTAATTTGCTTTGCAAACTGATTTAGAGTTAATTTAATTGTGTTTATTTATGCTCAATTGTTACTTAATATATTACTCTCATAAGTTGTTTCTACTAATTATTGGAAACACTGTAGCTGGTATTGTTTTAAGTTTGTGAAATGTAAAACAACTTGATTTGCCAATTTTAGCTGACATGTAATGTTTCAAAACTAGAAATTGATGTTGAGGTTAGAGTACTAATCACGAAATTTGTTGCATTACTATTGTGGAATTTAAATTTTACTATATGAATGTGGCCACTAATTTTCTTTTATGGTGTTTCGTGGGGATAATTGTGTATAATGTTGTGAGCAGGATAAGCTATTGGACCAGACAAGTGTGACCCATTTGTTTCAAATTACCAAATATCTTGGACTCCTCGCTACTGGAATGACTGGTTGGTGCTTTTTTTTTTACTCCAGAGCATGTTACTTGAAAGGAATTGCTTTATTTGAGTTTTATTATTGGACTTGGTGTTTTAAATATTTTTCCTTGTTTTCAGGGTTAGGATTTTTTAATGGTTATTGGGGAAAGTGATGAATCAAAAAGGTCTTTCTTGGTGTTTCTGTATTGTATTGTCTAAATTGACTAAACCCCTATTTGGATGAGATTATTTTCAGCTTATCTACGCTGCAAACACTTATGCTGATAAGCTTATCAAAAGAGCTTATGACTTTTGAAAAGTTTTAAAGCTGTTTTTAGCTTATTCGTATAATATATTTGAAGTAGTTTATCAAATAAGTTGAAATCAGCTATTCAAAGGCAAATTGATGCAAACCCTCGGAAGTTGTTTTTCAGCCTATTCAAAAGCACATGTTGAAAAATTCTTATCTTAAACATGAGTATTTAAATTATTTGTCCAAACTGGGTGTAATTGCATTTAGTTGGAAATAAAGCATGCATGTTATAAAATAACTAATAGGAAGACATTGTTATTATGACAATTTATGTTAGCATATGTTATTATCAATATTCAATATAAATTGAAAATTTCTAACCCCAAAAGATGCTGGCTTATAATAAGCTTCTTGAGCTAGGCAATTAGCAACAACAAGATTGATTTTGCCAGGTGGTATTTAGCGGATCCTTTGGTCTTTTGGGTTCTTCTTGAAAGTGTGTGTTGCTTTGGTATTGATCTGATACAGACTTCTGTTGTGTGTACACATGCATTTGTGTTTCTTAATTTTGTCATGCTAACTTACCTATCAAAAGGACAAATTTCTATTCCTGAAATGGGAAGTTCTATTTCTGCTGTTATTGCGATATTGTGTTTCAGCTCTTTTCAAACTCATGGTTCAAGAACAGAACTTAAAAACTCAGTTAATGTTTTTACATTGTGTTTATAGCTCATTGCTAGGATTTGGATTTTGGAATTATGATCAAAATGTTAAGGTCCTTAATATTTTCCCATTCATTATTACAGCTGATGCCAGGACCTTGGTCCAACAGGCTAGGAATGAGGCTGCTGAATTCCGTTTTAAATATGGATATGAGATGCCAGTGGATGTGCTGGCCAGATGGTATGTCAAGTTTCTTCGTATGATTTTCTTTATGTTGTGTTCTATAGTGCTGGGCCCAGTTTGCTATTTGTTCATTGGGCTTAATGTGTCTAGAACCTCTAGATGCACAATCTTTATGCTCTAGTTGGTAATAAATTTTATATTTTCAACTATAAATCCTTGCTTTCTATTCTTTGATAAATGAGTAGAATTTTGTGCTATCTAGCATGGGCACATATAATTTTAATGAACTAAATGGTATGTCTCCACATACAGGATTGCAGACAAATCTCAGGTTTATACCCAGCATGCCTACATGAGACCCCTTGGAGTAGGTTTGTTACTAAGCACCTGTGCTGCTCTAGTTGCCCTAGTTTTGCTGGTTTTTTGTACCTGTTTATGACTATTATCTTTTCAATGTGAAGTTGCAATGGTTCTGGGTATTGATGACGAGAAAGGACCTCAGCTCTTCAAGTGTGATCCCGCTGGTCATTTTTTTGGTCACAAGGTAGTTGCAAAACTTTTTTTTTAACAGACAAAAAATAATGGAAGTTGTTTCTATTATCCCTGCAACCTTTGGCTCTGGTCCCACCAACACTATCTTTTTAGGCCAATGGATGGTTTGTTTGATTTTACATACTCTGCTCAAATGCTGCCACATTCACAATATTGGTCACATAAAATTATTACTAAACTCTTCCATTTGTCCTACCGGCCTTAATTCCTATTATTTAAATCAACTAACTTCACTTGTGAAGAATAGAACAGAAGGATCCCAAAATGTAGTAGCCAAAAATGTCATACTTCATTTTTGCACAGAAGGTCTGAACACTTTGTGAGTTGATCAAATTAGTGTACAGTAAAATGTCATAATTCATTTTGCACCCTGGAGCCAAATTGGGTATTCTGTTTGCTTGACTCTCATAGCCTGCTCACTGAATGCACATTGATCCTCTGATCTTCTTTCTTTACTTCTACATATGTAGTGTTTAATATCTTGTCTTCCATTTTTGAAATGATACTTGAAACATTTCTATCTGATGACTAACCTAATAAAATAATTGTTTGCAGGCAACTAGTGCTGGATCAAAAGAACAAGAGGCAATCAACTTTCTGGAGAAGAAAATGAAAAATGACCCAGCTTTCTCCTATGAGGAAACTGTACAGGTAACTGGAAAAGTAAAATGGAAAGAAATGTTTTTAAAACTTATTTTCTACTGTCCCAAGGGGCGGAAAATGCTGGATCATCATATTGAAACTTACTGTGTACCTCTGCCATTTTGTAGACTACAATTTCTGCTCTTCAATCCATTTTACAGGAGGATTTCAAGGCCAGTGAGATTGAGGTATCACATCGTCGTTATTAGTTTTAATTTCAATTTTATTTTTGTTCTGTTTCTGTTTCTATCTTTCTGCCTTTGTTACAGTGGATTGGGATTTTCAAAGCAAAATATGTGTATCATAGTAAATCTAGTTGTAGTATGCTTTTTGCCGCTTATGCATTTGTTCTCTATATGCTGACTGCTGGCAAATGCAATGTTCTGGCATGTCAGGTTGGTGTCGTGAGGCAAGAAGATCAAGCTTTTAGAGTGTTATCAACCGAGGAGATTGATGAGCACTTGACAGCTATTAGCGAGCGCGACTAATTTGTTACCCTTAGTCCTTAGAGCCCTCCTCTCTACTGCTTCATTTGAGATCCATGCCTGTATTCGTTATCATTCAAAGTTGTTGAGACCAATTTCAGTGTTGAATGTTGATGAAACATGGTGAAGGAAGTGGAGAGTTCTGCAGATTATTATGACTGATGCTACTTTCCCCTGGATATTCCAACAACAAACATTATTATGACTGCAGTCTGCAGATGTTTCTTAACTTTAAAAACATTGAATCATCTTTTGATCAAGTTTTAGGATAAGCATTTGTTTAGCAGTGCTCTGCTATATCTGTGCCACCTCGTAACCCTTTTCACATAGGTCCCATGAAGCTCTCAATATAACTTTTTTTTTTTTTTTTTTTTTTTCAACAGTAAAAAAAAACCGGAAGTTCGAGTTATATCCCAGTTAGGGTTGGTATTATGTTTACAAAAAAAAAAGATGTTTAAGCATGAGGTCTAGAGTTTGAATATGTATGTATGTTGTAATGTACTTGGAAAAGCTGGTTAGATTAGTCTAATAAGTCTCTCATTCATAATTTCGGAATGCTAATTGAAAATATTTTATGAAAATTCACTCTTGAAGTCAGTGAAACAAACTTAGTAAATATGATATTTTTAAGAAAAAAAGTTTTTTTGGTTGGTCAATTTTGAAAAATACTTGGTGTATTCCTATTTTAAATTCCCAACTTGTATTCCTTCTCACATGCAACTAATCCTGGTTTGTTATCCTGAGTAGAATTTTGAGAGTTTATGTAGTAGAACTCATCAATTTTATGGTGATGGAATAATTTATATTTTATAGGTAGTAAATGAGGGATAAAAAGTAGGCAATAGACACAATATTGATTTTGTGAAGGTACACCGGCAAGGGTATCGAAGAGAATCTGGGTATGATCAATTCATTGTCCTTTCAACAGTTCAACCAATTCTTAAGATAAGATATTAGTTAACTCTGCCAGTTCAAACAAATCACAGCAGTTAGGATACTGGTGGTCTCATAAATTATTATGATTCTTTGATCATTTCCTAAGCCATTCTTTAAATAATCATTTAAAAGTAGATGCAGGCATGAGCATGTTTTACACATGAATGATGAATGATGAATGATGAATGATGATGATACAACCTGATCTGATCTGCAAAACCAAAGCAGCCAGTTTTGTCTGCGAGGACAATTGGACAACTGGCTGATGTATCTCTTGTCTCACCCTTTACCAGTTAGTTAGCTATGAAGATGCTTTGCTTCTAGACTCTATTGTATGTACATCCACTTGCCCTTCATTTTCTTTACAATTTTCTTCCTTCACTTAAAATATCTGCAATTTTTACCAGACTAATTTCAAGATAAGCATATACATCTTTTCTTGTAGAAAGTTTTCATGTTTTTTTTTTTTTTTTTTTTTTTAATACTATTGACTCTATTACAAGGTAGTATATGTTCTATACTTTCTTTAACTATTGCAGTCCAAAGAGTCAATACCCCATCACCAGGGTTCGGTCCTGTAACCTTTCCTCAAATGGAGCCACAGAGGTACCATTTGATCACAAGGTGCTTGGCTGTAAGGGATGTAGTTGGTATATACTATTATTATTTTGTGGATATCTTAAAGAAATGAGAATTTAACGCACCTCCCGTACTATATTTAATTTAGAACTGTAAAAATTTATTAATATTGAAATGTTTGACATCACACTTATTCCTCCTTATCCTTTTCACTAAAAAAAGTAAGTTTTAACTCGATGTATGCAATGACATTTTTTTTTTTTGGGTGATAAGGCAAACTCAAAATCGCTATTCGATGGTGTACACTAGGTAAATCTTACTTTTTTATAATAGTCCACAAATTACACACAAAAAAAAAGTAAACTTTTTTTTTGAATGTCAAGAAAAAGTAATCTTGATGCAGCAGACTTGACTAGAAAAATATTGACAAGAATCGAACTCATCACAACCTTTAAGTACGAAAACCATGCTCTACCCATTTGACCATTCATTTCAATTCAGGGCATTTGACAATCATTTTCCTTAATGGAATCACATGTCCAAGGGGAGCACAAACATCATATCAAAGTTAGCCAATAATCATTCATTAGTCTAAAACCACACAATCAAAAATGATGACAAAACAATAAAAAGGAGGGAAAGTTGAACTGGGAAGGTGATAACTATATGACTTTAGAGAAGGGTGTGTGACTTGTGAGTTGCAGCTTAGGAAGGGGACAAAATTTCTTTTGTAGCATAGCAATAATATGTGACATTTAATGTCCATAACGAAGGTGATACGAAGGGAGTTATGATAGGGAATTCAATGCTCCAAACTCAAAAAACATCCAAACTATACGGTGAAGCATGGTCCACTTGTTGGTCCCTAGTGAAAGAAATGATCACTCCGGCATGCAATTGAATCTGCCAGTCTAATGATCTGGCCTGGGGTGAGACATACCTAGGTTAGGTCTTATCTTGTGGGTGAGACATACTCACTTTTCCAAGTTCCTCATGTAAGGTAGTAATTGGTGTTTATGTGGATGAGAACATATATTCTACATTCCGTTAGGGAGTGAAGATACCTTTAAACCCGTACCATACTCAGACAAATTTGGATTTACAGTTATGAAGTTATCGATGTGTAGTTATGCAATTCTGGATGTATAGTTATGAAGTTATAGATGTGTAATTATGCATGCAATTCTGGATTTATAGTTATGAAGTTATGGATGTATAGTTATGAAGTTATGGATGTATAGTTATGCAATTATGGATGTATAGTTATGAAATTATAGATGTGTAGTTATGCAATTCTGGATTTTTTTTAAGTCGACGTCAAAACGACGCCGTTTTTGCATCCATGTGCACCATGCATGGTGCACACGGATGCATGGTGCACATGGATGCACAGTATAACGCTCCTTTGAACTCCCAATCTCTCTTAAGGGATGAGAGTGCACGGTCACTCACGCCAACTAAGCTGGTTGATTGACAACTTGTTTAATTGGAAGTTTTTGTAATTTTGAAGTTGAATAATTGTATTGTAGGTGAATAAGTCGATTCTTTTTTCTTTTCTTTTTTTTTTTCAAAATATATAAAAGTATAAACTAAAGGAATTTAATATTCCCAAAAATAATAATCTCAAAACAAAGAATGAAATAAGAAAAATTCAAATCCAGTATAAACTAACACATTTTTCTTAAAGGCGCTGTTTGGTAAAATGGCTGTTAGCTGATAGCTGTTAGTTGTTAGCTGATTGTGTTAATTAGAGGGTATAAATAGTTGATAACATTAGCTGATTGTAGAAAAGTGTTTGGTAAATTAGCTGTTTGGTATAATTTCTTTTTTCAAAAAGCTAATTAAAAAAGTTGCTTGGAGTAGCTTTTTGAATTTTAGCCTTTTGGAGTTGCAAAAAGCTAATTAACCAAACATTTATATTGATATTTTAACTAAATCAAACAATTAATAGTGGTCAAATAGGCCAAAATTAGCCTATAGGCCAATTTTTTACCAAACAGGGCCAAAATCAATTCGCTACTTCCGAAGGTGATAGAAACATTGTGGCATCAGTTTTTCAAGATAAATGGATTACGATAAAATAGTTTGATCTTGTAATCAAACTAAATTACTACAACAAGATGAACACACAAGTTTTCAGAATGTGTGGGTAGAAATTTCAAAGATAATTAACAGCTTAGGAGTAGAAAATTTGTATTTCGAATTAGTCAAAAATTTAGACATCAAAGCAGCGGTGGTCGAGAATTACGTACTGAAAGATAAAACATCGAACATTTGAATGATACTTACAAAGGCAAAGGTCGTGGGGTGCACGCGAGTCGAAACCTTTTCAAATTCAATTTAGAATTTGATTTGCACCTTTGTGCACAAAGTTTTTATGCTATACAATTCAAATTATTTCTAAAAGTAAATTATATATATACTCATGCAAACCCACATCCCTTTATAATATTGTAATTAAGATAAATGCTACTTCCAAGCTTTTTTATCTTCATTTTTCAACACATATGAGTCTATTTTGATAATCAATTCCTCATATATTCACTCATTATTTGTTTTGAACGTACAACATCTTAATTTTTTCGTCTCATTTAGAAAAACACAAATCCACTTTGATCATCTAACTCAAATCAGAACTGAACATCATATATATTTATTTCATAAAATAATAACTTAAAATGCCATTTTAATTAATATTTCAAACATATAATGAATGTCAAGGAGAACCATCCAACTCTAACCATCTAAACGAACCATAATAAACTACCTTAAAGTTAGCCGCAAAACTTGACAAAAAACCCACTCCTATAGAAAAACCCACAAATTCACTCTCCAAATTTAGTGGTGTTACTATTTTAAATATTCTTTCATGGTTAAAAATCTTAGATGGTTTTTATAGTTTTTACATTCATGTAAAAGAGAAGTTTGGAGAGAATGTTGAGTTTCTCCTATAAGACCTGGTTTTTGTGGAACCCACTGTCCTACAAAAAAATCAACATTTTCTTGCGTTATGCGTTAGTTCTGTTACATTTTTTTCCCTCCTTTTCTTTTTTTCTCCCATATTTTTTTTCTCCTAATCACTTCTTCAAAAATCAATTAAAGTCTCCATCTATTAAGGTCGCCCTCTTAGTGACAATGTCAAATCCTTATTTTCATAACTTGGATGTGATTATAGTCATGTTTTCTGATGATTGGAACTGCTTGATTAAACTTGTCTATATAGAAACAAATATTTGTATTAATTGAATAATAATTCACCATGATCATTTACATCAAAGTTTACACATTGACAAAACCCCTTTGAAGGAAATTCATCTTCTACATTTTCTTGCAAATTATTGTGTAGGCATAGTACGTAGTATAACCTAAGATTCAATTCATATTATTTATTTATTTCTTTCTTTCTTTCTTTCTCATGTGCCCAAAAGAAAAAATAGCAACGCCATCCACTAGAAATTATTAACTATTAACTATCAATTTGATCACTTTTGATTAATCAACTTCTTCACATCAACCAAATAATTTAATCTAAAATATTCAAAATACCATCACTTTTATTAAAATTCATCCTTTTCATATGAGAATATTTAAGACCAAATTTAACTTATTTGAAAACATTAAAAATGATAAAGTGATCGAATTAATAGCAGTGTTGCAAAAATTTCGCATAGGCACCGATTAATCGGCGCTTAGGCATTAGGCGTTGGTTGGTTACCTAGCGTATCACCATAATCGGTGGTCTAGGCGGTTGGCCGACTAGGCGCAGATCGCCTAGGCCAGGC